CCCGATCAGTCTCACCCACGTTATCTTCTCAGGGATTTCTGGATCCCACGTGCAATGCCACCGGAAAAAGGGAAAAATAATCCACAAATGATCCCAGACAGAGAAAACGTCCTGGTTCACTAAAAATAGGCCTCAACCCCAATCCGGTATTCCCCAGGTCAATGGGCTAGATAGGTCTTAAACCCATGGCACTGGCCCCCGTGAGAGCAAAGCATTTCCCAGCACCTTTGTTTGCCAGCCACTCAGAGCATGCCCCAGTCACACCATGTGCCATCACCTTAAAACAAAATGGCTGCCAGTTACCACTTCCTTAAAAGGTGGCCTTTAACAATAAGAGTCCCTCCATATTCCAATTCAGTGTATCCCCCCCCCCACAAAACAACCCACAGATATAAATAACCATAACAGAAATGTAAACAAACAAACTAACACCGGATTATTTGAAATGTTTGAAATGATTTCAATGTTTGAAATTAACACAATTTCTCCATTTTGTGGCCGTGTCACACCGTCCTATCAGTTTTGTAGCATTCGAGTGAATCTGAACAGAAGGTATAGCTTTATACACTTCAGAATTCATCTTGCTACTTCTATCAGCAGTCTCATCATCAATGAACACCAGTGACCTAGTTACATTGGTTTTTCTTCCTTCTCAATACTCATCCCTTCCCATCATTCTGGTAAAAGTTAATCTTAGTTTAATCTGTCCAAGACTCTTGGTCCAGAACTGGGCAGGCTTTTTTTGTTTTCTAGCAAAGTCTAATCTGGCCTTTCTGTTCTTGTGTGTTACCAGTGGTTTGCATCTTGAGGTAAACCCTCTGTATTTACATTTAAAAAGGCCTCTCTTGATTATAGACTTGACAATGATATGCCTACCTTCCCGAGTGTTCTTGACTTGGCTATATGTTGTGAAGGGGTTTTTCTTCACCAAGGAAAAATTCTGCGATCATCCACTTTAGTTGTCTTCTGTGGTCTTCTAGACCTATTGGTGTTGCTGAGCTCGTCAGTGCATTCTTTCTTTTTAAGAATGTACCAAATTGTTGATTTGGCCACTCCTAATGTTTCATTTTTCTCAGCCTAATGCAACCAAAAGCAAATTCAACATGTGGAAGAAAAACTCCAGACCTTTTATCTCCTTAATTTGTCATGAATTAATGAGGAAATGGGCCACACCTGGCCATGAAACATGTGAAAATGGAGGGACTCTGTAAAAAAAAAATGGCTGTAATTCCTAAATGGTTAATGCAATATGTTTGTTAAACCTCTTGAATTAAAGGTGAAAGTCTACACTTCAATCACATCTTCATTGCTTCATTTCAAATCCATAGTGGTGGTGTACACAGACAAAACTACAAAAATTGTGTCACTGTCCAAATACTTAAGGAGCCATCTGTGTTCTTCAATCATCAAATGTAGGAATGTCACAGGTTTTAAGATTTTTTAATCTATGGAGAGCCAGTATCTAAGGATATGACACATTGAAAGAAAGTGAGACTTTCAGGCCATTACTTTATTAAACACCCTACTCCAGACCTTAATATGCTGCTGAGACATTGAGAGTTTTATTGTGTTCATCTGTACAAACAGTGAACCCAGTTGAAGCAACTCAAGGCTGCCGCAGGCTGAACACAGACACAGAGGAGGTGGGAGTAGTGCAAAAAGATGTGCTCTGTTATTCAGTTCAGTGCAGTGTAGGTATGAGAAGTGCAGAGTGGGTGTGGATGTGCGAAGCAGAGGTGTCACGGTCACTCTGGCTTGGGATGCGGTGAGCAGGGGTGAGCAGCGTTGAGGCAAGACCCCGGGGATTTCTTCGGCCATCGGGGTGCATACTCTCGGCATGACGCTGGTACGGAGCACGGTCTTCGGTACTGTCGCTGGTCTCTGCGAGAGAGGGAGAGAAATGGATCAGCAGGTACATGAACACCAAACTGGCTCACCATGATGTATCCATGCGTAGTCCTTTTATACTCCCCTGTCTTCTTATGGAGGGTGAGGAGCCGCCGTGGCTATCTTTGGCGGCCAGCTGTGTGTAGTTTTGCCGCCCCATGCCCATATGCTCCTGTGCTGTCCCCAACAACAGAGATGCTAAAGTGGCACTGTCCCTTCAGCACCTGAGTGGCAGTCGTGCGAGGAGTTTGTAGAGGTTTTAGTGCGGGGGCTGCAGGCCCGCCGTCACACCAGTATACTATCTCACTGTGAGTCCAGCATACTAGTGGGTTATGTTCAGTTCAATTTTCGGTTTTATTTGTATAACACTTTTAATAATAGTAATTGTTACAAGGCAGCTTTACAGAAATCTGGATGTAAATCTATATATCATAATGAAGGACTTTGATAATTAGGTGAGTTGACCCCACATGAAATTGGACAAGTTCAGTTTCCAAATGGAGGTTATTAAGCCAAGATGAATAGAGGTCAATGGATGGCTATGACCGAGTGTAGATCAGTGAAGCCGTTGCTGCTCCAGTTGATAATTACTGAAACATTTGTGTATCCAATACACCATTGCAATTAAATAGGAATGTGAAAAAGGAAAACTAAGCAAGGATAACTCATCACAGTCGTTTTTAGTCTATTTTCTGATAAAAAGAGCACTGCTATATAAGTATGTGACTTTGATTACAAACAAAAAGAAATTAGGGCAGAGCCATTATGGATTTGTTTAATGAAGGCACATGCTACAGAGTACATTCTGATAACTCCATTATATCTCCACAAGGAAAGATACTCAGTGTTTGGTGATATCTGTAAGTTGCATGGAACAGACTATTAAACTAAATATTAAGCATGCCAATTTTCTCTGTAGTTTGTGTAAGATTGTACTATATTGATAATTTTTTCAAAAGATTAAAGGAGGTGCTGTGATTCCAGTTCATCCCAATTTAGATGTAAGTAACATTCAGTAAAGCCAAAAAAGTCACACAATTACTGTTGTTTAGACAGAAAAATACAAAAAGTATTACAATATGGTGTTTAATGTTTGATCATTTTTATTTCCCCATTAGATGCTGTTTGGTATTCTGTTCAGCTTTAAGTAGAATAATGTAACACTTTGGAGCAAATAAACACAAAAGGAGGCCAAAGCTAGAAGCTAAAATAGCAAATATTTCAACTGCAGTAGTGAATTTACCAGGTGAACTTACATAGGCAGGTATAAATGTCAGCCACACTGCACAAAATATTAACATGCTAAAAGTGATATATTTAGCTTCATTAAAATTTCCAGGCAATTTTCTAGCTAGAAAGGCCAACATGAAACACAAACAAGCCAAGAAGCCAATGTAGCCAAGCACACACCAGAAGGCCAACTCAGATCCCACCTTGCAGTCTAGAATTACCTTAGAGTGCTGATACTGTGTGTTTTTATAGGGGAATGGAGGGGATGATATGAGCCATGCAGCACAGATGACCATCTGGACCAGGGTGCAGCTAAAAATGATGATCCGCTGCTGTGTAGGCCCAAGCCATTTCATCACATTGTTACCAGGCTGGGTGGCTGTGAAAGCAGCAAGAACCACTAAGGTTTTACCTAGGATGCAGGAGATGCAGAGGGAGAAGGTGATGCTGAAAGCAGTGTGGCGCA